CGATATTATTAACAGTATTAAATTTTATTTATTGAATTTTACAATTGTGGTTACTATTTTTCAGATTTTAAAAACTGCATTTGGATATACTTCTATGCTGCTTGCTGTCAATAATTAATTACTTAATGTGGTTATAAATTTATAGTTTTGGTGGTTGATCGTGGTCTTTTTCCGTTACTCTGATTCAACTAAGATATGAAATTATTATTGAAGAGAAGCAAATCTTTATATCCTAGTAAAATTAGAAATAGCCGAGACTAGTGGTGATAATAACAACAACATCAATAATAGTAATAAAAAAATTAAATAGTCAGTAATATTTTAGTTGTTAAATTTTTTCGAATTAAATGCATGATTCTGGTCCTTAAATATGCCATATTATGGTTGCAACTTTTCGGAAAAAAATTGAACTCACTTTATCAGAAAATTTTATAAAAAAAAAACATTGACAAAATATTCTGAAATATCAGGTGATCACTAATTACACTAGGTAATCTATTGTAAGTAATAATTTACTGACGCATGCTTCATTCTTGGTAATTTTTTTAACACTTGATTTGCCTTGTCTTGGCATCATTAATTTTACATAATTATGTACAGCAGACTTCTTTTTTTTTCGAAGTTCAAAAGCATCCACTGGAAACATTTTATGCCCAAAATAATGATTACACTTTGTTGATACATGCTTCGGAGGTTCACAGCAATCGCGTAGTCTATACAAAGAGCAAATCTGGGAGTTTGAAGTTACAACTAAAATCACATATCGCTTCAATTGTGGCTTGAATAACCATGAAATCATACAAAAGCTCTTGAGAACTTATATACTTCCACGTTATCATCCATATCAAATAAAGTTATATACACATACCTGCAAGTTGATTTACCAGAAAATCTTAATTATAACACAGGTATTATTTATTTGTATGATCTCTTGTGTATGTATTAGTTTTCAATTTGAAAATTGTACCTTTGGCACTTTTCTTGTCGTATGAATGTCATAGTGTGGATATCAAACGTTGTATAAAACTGCAATTGTATCGATGATGCTTAATGTACTTCAAAAGAATCAGGTATTAAGTATACTGGTAAACTGATTGCTTTCTTGCCTTTTCTACACTGAGCGACCCAATTCTTTGAATCAAAGAAAATTTCTTTACCCTCATTCCGTTAAATATTTTCTTATGAGTAAAAAAATATAAGTTAATTGAAAATAATATTTTATTAAATTAAAATTTTCTTTTTTTAATTACGAATTTCTCATTTAGTTGTACGAAATGTTTTTTTGGATCGACTAAATTTGTTTCAATTAAAAGAAAATATTTAACGGAATGAGGGTAACGAAATTTTCTTTGATTCAAAGAATTGGGTCGCTCAGTGTACAAAAAAATTTAACAAGCTTTTGTTTTGTACTGTACTATATTATTTTGGCGGTGGGAAAAAAAAACTTGCAAAAATTTAGAGCTCGACGCACGTTTTGGCTGTCGTCACCGTCGCACGAAACATCAAAATAATATGGTTCTAGAGTGCGCATGTACTTACCAGTGGTAACGCTATATCCAGAAAGTGCCTTTTTTTCTCTGCATCACCTATAAGCTTTGGTGACGCAAATCCCTTCCCCGTAACTCTAATGCAACTTGTTACGCGTAATTGCTGTTCCAGAGAATCGAAGATTATATTCGCGGAAGCGTGGAAAAAGCCCTCGCCCCCATCCAAGGCGTTACGATTTATATTTAATAATACGTAAGTAGCCGCAGTTTGATAAACTCGTCGAGCCCCCACTTGACGGTATTGTTTTCATAAATTATGGCCTAATAAGGTTCTTCGAAAGAGCTTCGATGTGCCCCTCATGGGAATGCTGTTTTGCAACTCCCTTTTTCGTTCTTTTTCAGCGCCTGCTCACTGCTCGAGGGAACGTAGCTCGGGCAGTGATACTTTCGCGCTTGGACAAGTAACATATAAGCTATACATTTACTCATTGTCGTCAAAGTACGGACTCCCCTATTTTTTTTTTGCACAAAATTATAGAATAACATGTGATATTTTTTTTTATTTCAATACCACAATGCCGATTTAGCTCCGTTGGTCCCTGGAACTTAATTCTACACATGCTTTGGCATAAAAATGTCCATGAGCAGTAGTGAGAAAAATTTACAAGGTAAAGATGATCATTTTATTTATTTCCACGACAATCAGTCAAGGAGTGTACCTATACAAGCATATCTCGATGATATTGAAACAGATTTCGAATGGGCTTTCGGGCTGAATCGTTTGGCACTGCGGCTGATGGCCATTTGGCCGGGAGATGATGATTGCATCGAGGAATCGAAAAACAAGCAGTTACGAGTGCCATGCATGATACTCGCGATGCTGTTCTTCTTATTCCTTCCTCAGATGGCGGCTTTAATTTTGGTTGTTCACGAGTTACCGCTGGTCATTGATAATTTAATGACGAGCACGAGTGTTTTGACCTCCACGATAAAACTGTACAACCTGTGGGACGGCAGAAAAGGTATGATGTACATGCACACATATTTGTGCGCTCGGGGCTGTCGGTCATTATTTCACAAATTGAATGTTTCTCATCTCCCAACTGCTTGAATCTCTTTATTGACATGTTTGCCCAAAAAAAAAAAAACCGATTGTTTTCCTTGTATCTCTTACGGAGGAGTGCCCATGAGAAAAAAAACAAACATTTTTTCTCTTTTGGTCGAAATACTTATTAACAAAGTGAGCAAAAACTTTGATTCACTCGCTGTGCCCGGGGTACACATGTATATAATATCTTATCCATTGTTTATATGGATATCGAGTCAAAAAATACTTTTTTCCTACCTCGGGCGTTTTTGAGAGGCTGGTGTGCCCTCGGTAGGAAAAATAGCATTTGCCACATAAACGCCATCGCTCCGTGGCTACCTTACGTCCCTCGGGCCCTGCTTCACAGGTCCCTTCTCTCTAAAGTTGAATCAGTCAAATTTTACTGCGAATCAGTAAAATATCGTTTACTTGACACAATAAGTAAACGACTTTTCACTTATAATTAGTCAATATTGACTAATTCGACTGAGCTAACTTGAGAGAGTTGGGCCGCAAAATAGCCCCGGAGACGATGGCACTCATCCGACGAAAACTACCATTAAGGCATCATTAACAATAATCCTTCAAAAAAATTAATACAATTACTTGCGTCAGGGAATGCAATTTAAAATACAAGATGAAGCTGAAGAAGAAAAAAAAAAAAAAAAAGTTTGCTCCATACTCGCTCGCGACGTAAAAAAATGTACCGTCCAAGTTTTGCAGCCCGTGGTGCGATCGGTAACGAGAGATTGGCTTCGAGACAAGCATGAATGGGAACGCGGGCAGATGAGGCGCGAAGCAGCCAAGGCGCGACTTTTCACGGTAACCGGCTACTTCATACTCGCAGGCTGTTACATGGGATTCGCACTTGCGCCGCTCCTCGGTATCCAAGTCCGCCTGATAACGAACATTACCGATCACGGCCAGCGCTATCACCTTGTCCAATCGTACTATCCCAGCTTCGATTACTCCGAGAGTCCGTACTACGAGCTGGTCCTAATTTCCCAGTACACCGCCGGGATCTTTGTCGGTATGGCTGTCAGTATACCCGATGTCTACATGGTAGCTCTGGTCAATCACATGACCGCTCAATTCGGCGTACTCGGGACCCATGTCGAAACGTCCATGTGGGAGAGTGACGGGCAATCGATACCCGAGTGCTCTCGTCGGCGAGACTTTCGGGCAAAATTGAGATTTTTCGTCGACAGGCACGTTCACCTCATGAAGTAAGCGGCTTTTCCGCCATTCGCCTATACATATACATACACGTGTTACAACAGTGTCAAAAAATTATACTTACCTACATTACAACGCAAGTACTCGTCTTTTAGAAACGTTGCTGCCATCGAGGATTCGTTTAGTTTTGTCGTTGCACCGCAAATACTTTGCATGGTCGTCATGGTGTGCTGCCTGTCGTTTCAAATCTTGAGCGTACGTTCTGATACGTATACATGATTATGTAAGTGTGCTCATACAAATGTGTAAGGTATAAAAAAAAAAAAAAATTTAGATTTTTGGGAGTAGCGATCACAAACCGCCGATCCTCCAAGTCTTGACCCTAGTGATGACTCTGTTCACCATGATGATGCACATGCTCGTCAACTGCTTTGCCTGCGAAGTTCTCAATGAGCGCGTAAATCGCTTCTTTTTTTTACCTCCCCCCCCCCTCTCATGTTATTTTAGATTAATATATTGTTTTTCATTTTACCAAGAGTACGGAGATGTTCCACAAAATCTACGGGAGCGGGTGGTACACGGTGCACCAGCACAAAGCCCGAGATCTCATACCGTTGATGGCGATGTCGGGAATCCCGCAAAAAATAACTGCTGCCAAAATATTTCGGCTTTCTTTGCGAACATACTGCAACGTAAGTTGTTTTTTCTTCTTCTTTTTTTTTTTTTTTTTTTTTTTTTTTTTTTTTTTTTTTTTTTTTTTTTTTTTTTTTTTTTCTTGATTATTAACAAAACTTTGTCTTCACTTTGATGAACTGTAGATACTGAAATCAGCAGTCGGTTACATTTCGATGTTGATAGCTGTTAGCGGGAAATAACTTGCACGATGACTGTCAAATGAAGAAAATAGATAAAAATGTAATAGTGTTACAATAGTCACGAGATTCCAAATTTATGAGGCATCGGATGACATTGTGTATAGAAATGATTAATATATTTTTCTTCGGCTAAAAAAACAATAAACCACATTGCCAGTCACTCGATTGCAACAATATTTTTACGTTCACATTTGTACTCCTCCATATAGCTTCGGGGAACGGGTTTCGCGAAAAAGTATAAAAATCTGCTGTCTGCGAAGTTACGCGCTGTATGCATACCCATGGGTACGCGAAAGGTAAAAGTTGCGAGGTATAAGCATATAATACCGCAACAACAGCAACGACACGTAAATGCTGCTATTATGTGATGCAAAACGGGCAATTATCTGTCGCGCGCGGCACGCAAAGCTTTCGTTTCACGTGCCTCGACAACTTTCCAGACTCTCTTCTCATCGATTATGCATCTGCGGTATCGACATCAACGAGAACACAACAAATCCTCCCTTGACGAGCATCTACAAGGGTTCAATGTCTCTTACCTCTACACTGTCGAGTTTCGCTATTCTGTACGTACAGGTACACCGCATTTCTCCTCTTTCGTACCCGTGCGTTATTTCCTCGTGTTATTACCCGTCAATGCTCGCATCGCGCTCCAGACGACAATACATATTGCCATTTTGAGCACTTTGAGCGTAAAATCGGTTTTGCTCTCAAGATAGCCAACAGTGATAATTTTTATTCCAACGTAATTGTGACGTTACTAAATAAATTAAATAATGGAAACGATGGAAAAGTTACACGATGCAAAAGACAAGGGTAAAAAAAGCAATTTGTCATAATTATGACCAACACATAGACAAGGAATCATTAGAATGTTTAAGGTATGGATTTCAATTGGGCCGTCTCGTGGAACCGAGCAACCCTGCGTTTGATGGGAATTTGGCCGATCGACCAAAAAAATGGCTCAAGGTATTCAAGGGTGCGCGTGCCATTCATGATTTTGGTCATATTTTTCGGACTCTTCGTACCCCAGTGCCACGCCCTGACTTTGGTCGTGTACCACCTACCGCTTGTCATAGATAACTTCATGACAACATCGCCGGCAATGGTTTCTTGTATGAAGCTCTACTTTATATGGCGTCAGACAAAAGGTAATCACCGAGAAAGCACGAACCATCGCAATTTCGTAGACGCATAGATTTGTTTTTCCAAGCCAGTATTGCGACCGGTGCTCAAGTCCATGTCCAGGGACTGGGTTGGAGCGAAGCGCGACTGGGAGCACGAGATAATGAGGTCCGCGGCGGAAAAGGGCCGACTCGTGACGATCGTCGACTACATTGTCATGGCGGTATGCTACTGCGGCTTCGTGGTCGCCCCCTTGATCGGTTTCGACCTCCGGCTCATCAACGGCATCACCGACTACGGAGCCCGCACCCTCCTCGTCCAGTCGTACTACCCGTTCGACTACTCGGCAACTCCTACCTTCGAATTGGCGTACACACTGCAGTTTCTGGGCTCTTTCTTCGTCGGCCTCGCCGTTTCCGTCCTCGACGATTACTACGTGGCTCTTCTTTATCACGCCAGCGCCCAGTTTCAAATCCTCGGCATCGACATTCAACACCTGCTTCGGGACGGTGCCAAGGACATCGGTGACTTTGACCGAAGGCTTCGGACTTCCATCGACAGGCACGTCCATCTCATTGGGTAATATCTGTTTGTAAACATTTCTCTCGGACCAGTGTAGCACTGCTTGAATTCATTGGGTCGATTTGGGGACTCAATCATCACGAGAGAAATCGTTTCAAGTCTCCAACTCGACCCAATGGATTCAGGCTCAAACGTCGCACTGCTTCCGTATCGAAGTAGTAACGGTATGAAAATAGTCAGACAAGCCATGAGTTTAGTTGAGTGGTGATTGAAAAAAATAATACCTACGTGGGGGAGACGCCAAGATGCCCGTATATATGGTTTACAAAAAAAAAGTTACAGAATTGTTTCAGCTATCGAGAAAGCGTTTGGATTCGTGATTGCAGCTCAAATTTTCTGCATGTCCACGATGATTTGCTGCTTGGGATTTCAAATTCTTGGGGTGAGTTTGGAATATGGTTAAGGTTTTGAATTATTTAAAAAACTATAGCAAACGAGAAAACAATCCCACATCAGATACTCGACGTAGCGGACAACAAACCCACGGCCCTTCAAATAATCACGCTGACGGGAACTCTGGTAACAATGATGCTTCACACGCTTGTCCATTGCCTTACGAGCGAAATTCTGGCATTCAGAGTGAGATGTTCATTACTAGAGCGGCAATTTACGTATACCAGCTCGAATTATCTCGGCATGACATTGTCCGTATTCGTTTATTAGAGCGCCGATATTTTCTACAAAATATATTGCAGCGAGTGGTATACATTGCCCTGGAGGAAAAGGCGCTACCTCGTACCAATGATGCTCGTGTCAAGTGTTACCCGGCAGATCAAGGCAGGATACATTTTACGAATGTCTTTGGTGACGTATTGCGGTGTCAGTTGATTTTAATATATTTGCATGTACATACGCAATAAGCGCTATAATATGCACTCGTAAACTAAATGTACCTAGTACACTGAAACATTGGCGCGCGCGGTCAAGAGAGAGCACCTGACACCTGCATGTCACGCATCTTCGTTAGATCTTTGCGGGAGTATATTTGCGAGGTGCAGCTAACAGATGGAAAATCTTTTGATATTTTATGAAATCCATATTATTTCTGGTTAACATTTTCAATCGAACAATTTAAAGTAAAATTTGAGATCTTTAATATTCAATAGAAACACTTTATTTTGTTATGTATTCTATGCGCAGATAAATTATTTTATTTGTTCAAGTCTTTCTACAGGACAAAAAAGAAAACTACGATAACGTTTTATGTATAGTGCATGATTTTTTACACAGTACCCAATTGCAATGTAACAGATACCTAGTGCATCACAGTTATTTGAAAACAATTAAACTTAATTTTCTGTACATAAAAGTAAATAAACCCATTTTTATTATCAGATAATGGCAAATTTTGATCGTACTGTAGCCAATCATAAAATTTGATAGGGGGTCCAGAGTTTTGCCACCCATGGTTAATCGCTTAAATTTAATTTTTAATTATAGATTATCAAATCAACAGCAGGATACATCAGCGTACTCATTGCTGCTAGTAAACGGGGAAGATGAAATGTTTTTATTTCAAAGATTTATGTTGTGTGTAGACAGTTCACGGAAATCGAGGAAATAATTAAAGTAATACATTTTTCAACTGACACAAGAGAATGGCTAATTACACGTTGTACTTTTTTTTTATTTTAATTAGGGGAAAAAAAAATTGTTTCCGAGAAATTAATGAGTAAATGAAACAAGTAAAAAATAGTACAAACACCAAACCATATGAATTCTATGTCTTTGAATCATACATATAACCAGTTATGTATTTTGTTGTTTGATAAGTCATTCACTTCTCTTTTTCTCCACTGGTATCCGACATTTTTCTACATGTATGCATGATTATACCGCAAAAGTGGAAACAACTTTCTGAATCATCTCTAATCTTATTACCTATTTCACTTATCGTACATCTTACATGTCCCATCTTCTAACATTTAGTGACATGACTCTGAACGTGTTTTGTACAATACCGTTCGTCATCATTGTTGCATTAGGGACTGTATTCTTTAAACAAATTATAACATGGAAGGTAATTTTATCATTGTTTTTGCAACAACCACTACTTTATAAAGTGTATAAAAAACAAGTGGCACAAAAACAAAAAAGTCTACACTTTGTCATATAAAGCATGACCAGAAATTTATATCACCAGAGCAAAAATTGAATGGTGTAAGATATACATTTTTTTTTTTTTTTTTTTTTTTCATACTTAAAAACTATTTTAGTTATTTTTAATGTAAAAAATATGCATTGTGAAGAAAAACGTCAAGCATTTAATTTTTTAGTTTTTAAACTTATGCATCTAAAATTTTCTTGTAGAAAGTTGATTTTTTCTTCGTAAAAATAATAATAACATTTTTTGTTCGTTTTCATACTCTACTAGCACTAAGCTCATGGTGTACTGAATATATACATTTCGTATAAAGTATGTGTTCTCTAAAAGGGTAATTTAAAGGAATGTGTTTATGAAGATCTGATGGAAAAGCTCCGGAAAAAAAAAATATAAAATCTGATTAATTTCACTGTTTGTACGAAATATTTTTCACTCGATACTGCGAGTTGAAAAAATACAAACCGAATACATTAGTTTTTTATAACCAAAAATAATATAAATAAAAAAGACAGTAATCGTTAAGCTGCCAGTCAATACACATGATTGAACCAAAACGCTAAAGAAAATTTTGGCATGGTAAGTCATAAGAGATTTCTGTTAATTTGATTTAATAAAAAATACTTGGATTTCTTTCTGGATTATTTTCAATGGGAAACGCATAATGGGCACCGACTGCTGTGGAATGGATTTTTTCTTTTCTTACTTCACAGGAGTAAACCTGGGCGAAACTGCAAAAGGCAGCAGGTAAAGTATAGAAAAATACGGATTCATACAATGAAAAATTGGTTTTGGCCATTCTAGTGTTTTCGGTCCAGAAATGGTGGTGAAAGACTCCACGTTCACTGAGATAATATAAAATATTCCCAGAAATGATCGAGAAAAAAAAATTTGTTGGAATTCTACTTCTTTTTTCATATTTAGGATTGAAAAAAAAGCCACGATGAACCATGGAAAAGAAAGAGTATACATAAAATTTCAATAACTAAAACTTCATAGCTTACAGCAGAGAAGCCCCCAATATTGTTACCATTTTTTAACATTTTTATTCAATAGCACTACATCAATTAATCTATCTACTTATAAGTTTCAATTTCATTAAATTAATTGATAATATTTATAGTGAGTATGATGCAAAGTAGTAAAAATAAGGCTAGTTTCAATGTTTTGAGAATCTCTAACAAAATTCTGATAAGACTGGAAATTTTTATACTCCAGTTATTCGATTCCTGTACTATTCAACAAAATGTAATGATAATTATTTGTCAGAGTATATTTCAAAAATAAGACCAAGATAAAAATTGGACTATAAAAACTTGAATTTGTTATGAAAATCATGGATTATGCACTATTTACATTATCTTTAACAAATGATAAAAAATATAGCCACAGATTGTGGCTAAATGGTGCAATTAAGATAGTTCAATATAATAATTAAGGCATTTCTGATGTTTATGCTTTGAAACAGTTCATGAAGCACACACACTTAAGCATACATATTTTGACAGAAAATCAAGAAACTAAAACAAAAATCTTACTATTTACACAGTTGTATATTATTAAGTAGAACTTTGCTAAAAATTTTATAAAGTTTAAAAACTTAGAAGATGATTGCTTGCAGGAAATACCTTAACCTATTTAGATGTAAATGAAGAGTAAACGAAGCAATGGACAGTGGTTGTGGTAAACCAATAAATGAATATACTTACTTAGGAAATTAGGTTTTTGTGCTTTAAGTATCTCAAGCGGAAAACGTATTGAAGAGATAGTAACGGAGTCGTAAATAATTGAGTCAATTTACACCTGTATTTGCCACTGCAATGGGTCCAAGCCATTAGTATCAAAAACTAAATATTTTACGCATGTGGAATATGTATATTATATAATATAATAATAATAATATAAGATATCTTATAAACATTTATCAAGTATGTAAATTGATATTTCGTTGGAGGCTATGCTTACTGAGTGTGCGAGAACTACTAAGAGAAAAATTACGTATGATAAACTGATTAAAGATCTTCGGGGGATGTGTATAATAAATTTATAATTTTCTGCGGACTGGAAATAAACAATTTATTTAAGTATTACAGAAAGTACATTTCTGGAATAAAAAATAAAAAATATATGTCTCGATATATGTATGTTGTAAAGTGTATTCAAGTATACATATATATTTTTTTCAGAGATAAGAATCAATCAGCGCCATCTAGCGGACGATTATTCGCGAGAAAACTCGAGGCTCAGATACCCCACGGACGTTTTTTTATTTCAGATGACGAAGAAAAGCTCAACTCAGATTTCGCTTTTTAAAATGACATGAAGAAATACGAGTTGTGCTTTTTTTCGTCCGCCAAAAAATTTGATCGCCAGCAAATGGTAGAGCCAATCAGCGGCGACTTTTACAGCGGACGAAAAAAAGCACAACTCGTAGTTCTCAATGTCATTTTGCGTTTCGAAATATGAGTTGAGCTTTTCTTCGTCACTCGAAATGAAAAAACGTCCATAGGGTATCTGAGCCACGAGTTTTCTCGAGAATAATCGTCCGCTAGATGGCGCTAAGCGTGGATTTTTACAATTCTGACGTAATTCTGACATTTATTCTCGGATTTCTGATTTCTATTCTGTTTCGCATCATTTCTGATTCTGACTCTGATCCTCTGATGACAATTTGACAATGAGAGTATAAAAGCACCACGGCGAATCTGTCAATATGAGTTTCGGAACAAATCCCTGATGTTGATGGTTTGGTGTTGTGTTGTGTATATCTCCTACTTGTGTATCGAACTGTATTGTTAAATGTTCTTATCTTTTATCGATGTACTTACTTAATTAAACCTTAAAAAGTGTTAAAATGACGAGCAAAAAGGGTCAAACCTGGAGGATTGAGGCAGAAATTGATAAGAATCGCGAAGAAAACAACTGGAAGAAGGTTATTGACTTGGCTGATCAGCTCAAGACTCATTGTCCTAATAATGGTTCGTTTAGAATTATTAATATTTCTTTTCTCACTTGTCCATTTTTAGATGAATGAATATGATTCTGAAATAATTGAACCAACGTGTGACCGCCTATATGCGTGTTTTTTTATAAAAATAAATTGCAAGCAGTTGTAGCATTAAATTGTTATATTTTGCAGAATGTTTGGCGAATTTTTTGGGAGGTGAGGCTAGATTGGAAAGTTTTCTAGAGCAAACTCCACCTATTGAAGCAAATATACCAAAGGCAAAATCTGGCTTATTAGAGGCAAAGAGATTTCTGCTTCTTGCAGCAAATGAGAAGGACAAGCAGGTATACTTACTATGATTGCATAATGAATGATTTGTCATTTTATTTAAGAGTCGTAGATCTAACGCAATGATGACTTGCATTGTAGGCTCCAGTGGCGTTGGATGCACAACTTCTCCTTGGTAAATTGCACTATGCCATGGGAATGTACAGTGAAGCTGTGTTTCATTACCAGGAAGCCGAGCTACAATCTTTAACTGAAAAACAGTTGCCCAGTCGGAGTTTGCGTATAGTGGCTGAATCTTTTGCAATAAAAGGCTTATGTCTTGAAAAACTTCCTCCTACTTCAAAATCCAAGTACAAAATATCCGAGTGGCATAGCCAGATGATCAAGTGTTTTCAAACTGCTACCGATATATCTTTGGTCTATTTACAAGAACAAGATAAAATAGCAGTACAGCAACAAAATGGGACCTTAACAATTAACAGCAATAACGTGGGATCATCGTCTCCTCAATCCTCTATTCATTCTACAAAACATATGGGACCTATTTTAGAAACTGCTCTACAGAGAGCACCTCTGATACATTTACAAGCTGGCAACATCCAGGCTGCAATAGAGTGTTACAGGTAATTAATGAACGATTTTAAAAGGAACAATTTAATTAAATTAAAAGAGAGAAGAAACAATCTTTTTAACACTTTTGCAATTTATTTTAGAGGCATCCTTACTGCTCTTGAGACTACAGCGACTCAAAGCTTGAGGCTATCATTAACAAGGCAGTTGGGAGAGATTTTGCTGCGAGGAATGAAAGGTATCACGTATACTACACCCGAATCGCCAGGTATAAAACTTGTCATTTATATCTGTGGGACAGCTCCAATATAATTTACTTATACTACTTTCAATATTCCAGCTGAAAAAATAGGAAATAAGAAAAGTGCAGCCCCTGAATCTCCTTGGAAGCCCAAAAAGTACTCTGGAATAAATTTATTTGTTCCAAAAAATGAATATGAAGAAATGATTTTATTATTGTTAATAAGCGAAGCAATGGCTGTGAGAGACGCAGTTCTCAGTCAGTCTCCAGAATTTAAAGAAGCAAGAGCTCGTGCTTTTGAAAATGCCACTGCTATTTACGATCTTCTTACTATTGGAGTTGTCAGATGGAGTCAAGTAGAAGTTTTGCATGAGGTAATATTTTTAACATTATCGTTATTTTTAATTTTTTAATGGAATTAACATGATAAAATTCTTACCACAGTCATTTGAAAGAGCAATGAAATTTTCGCATGGTGAAGTGCATGTTTGGATGCAGTATGCTTTATGCTTAATTAGTTTAGGACGATACGTTCATGCATATTCCGTCTTACAAGTTGTAATAAAACTTGCGCCAACCAAAGTAATGCCCTGTTTACTGGCTGCAAGACTGTGTTATGAACATTTGAACAAGGTAGTTAGTTATATTTATTATTGTTGATATCGCTTGTACCAGCATGGTAACTACGTTCAAATTTACTTTTATAGGTTGCCAAAGGAATTGAATGGAGTCAAAAAGCATTGCAACGAGAAATGGCTAGCCCACAAGGCTTACAATCGCGCTGTCATCTTAATATTGGCATTGGAAATAGTATACTGAGTGCAAAAACAATAGTCAAGAAAGATAAAATAGAACACAGTCATGCAGCCTTTGACTCTTTTAGCAAGTAGGTATTTAAATAATGTTTGAATATTGTTAAGCTCCAGGTAATATACTGAGATTTAAACTAAAACGTCAAAATATTTCAGAGCTCAACAATGCGATCCAAATGATCATTTAGCAGAGTATTACCTAGCTCACGAATATGCAATGAATAGACAAATGTCCGAAGCCATGACGCACGTAAAAATTGCTTTAAGCCTGAGGGCAGAACACATTCCGTCACTGCATTTGTTAGCACTGTTACTTACGGCCCAAAAACAGTATACCGAAGCTCTAAACTTAGTCAACAGTATTTTAGAGGAATATCCTGATAACTTAAATATTTTGTATGTCAAAGCAAATTTAGAACTACACAGTGTTGGTGGGGAAGAAGCTCTTTTTACAATCAAACACATGCTTTTCCTTTGGAAGAATTTGTACGAAGATCAAACAAGCGTGGATATTAACGAGCAACAAAGTGAAAAGCGTAGCGAAACGAGAAGCGTCTTCCAAATGTACACAACAGAGATGTCGGACAAGGATTCCAGTAAGCTCATAATTTTATTAGTCGAGATGAAATTTATTGTAATAAAAATGTTTTAAACTTTTACGTTTTCCATTTTAGATTCCATTCATGCACAATCACTGGCTGCCTCAAGAGTAGAGCAAGCATTGTCGGAAGTTGCATCGTCACTTAGTTCCTTTGTTCCAAAACCTGGACCACAACGAGCGTGGCTACTACAACTACAAGTGTGGCTATTACTAGCTGAAGTGTTCATAGTCTTGAACCATCCTAAGGAAGCGATATTATCCATTCAGGAAGCGGCAAATATATTTCCACTGAGCCATCACATAATGTACACTGTACGATATATTTTTAATCATGAGTACTTAATTGATACAATAAATTTAATTTATTGCGATCGATATAATAATATTGCAATAATTAACATGTTTCGTTGCAGCGCGGACTGTTGCACGAATATAAAACGGAGTACGCGGAAGCCAAGCAGTGCTACCAAAATGCAATTTCAATTAATCCTTCTCACGTTAAAAGTCTGCAACATCTGGTAAATAAAATATATTACTCTATTTTCAAAAACAAATACATGTGAACAATGAAGTATTTTAATTTTCGTTACTCAACAGGGTTTAGTCTATCATTATCTCGGATGTCAACGTTTGGCTGAAAAAACTTTACGAGATGCTGCAAAGATTGATCCCATGTCTTACCTAACATGGTAATAGTTGCTTTTTATTGCATATTTAGTATTAAATTCCACAACAAAATCGATTAAGTTTTATTTTTTAAAGGTACAATTTGGGAAAGGTTTTGGAATCACTTGGAGAAGTTAAAGCTGCAAGTGACTGTATGGAAACAGCTTTGGAAGTTGAAACATGTAATCCAATTCTTCCCATTTCATCAATATCAGTGACTTTTGAATAAAAGTGTGTAATTTAATGATTAGGATATATTTAGCAGAATTTAATCTTTTGATGATGGACTCTTCAACTGTACAATTAAATTGTTAATAATCTTAATTTTACTTGTTATGTAAAATATTTAGGTAGTATTGTACAAAAGTATTGTTAATTGCAATAAAAGCTAGAAAAACTTAGTATTTTTCCTAAGGTTATTTATTTTATACATTTGAGATATAATTATTTGCACTCTATTTTTTTTCAAACAGAGTATACAATTAGAAAAATTCTATGCTTTTCAATATAAATTCCAAATACACTTAGTCATTTTTGTTCAATGTACATAAAATTATTTGGATTTATTACATTATTTCTACTACTAAATCCTTGAAGAATTTAAAAAACTTTTTCAAAGCCAAAAGCTTATTCTTAGTGTACCTTTAGTCTTTTTCTCTTCATCTTCCTATCAAAGGTAGATTTTTATTTGCAGCTTACAAAAATATTCCATACAATATTTTAAAAGAAGTATTAAGAATATGCATTTCTGATGCCATTCTAAATGCACATACGGATTAGTACAACTTTTGTTTATTACAGTGCATTAAAATTAATATCTTATGTTATATTTCCACGCATAAATATTAAATGAATTACTGTGTGAGGAATCAAGCAAACGGATAAGTTAAAAACAGAAACGTTTTCATGTAAAAAAAAGTATATGCTGAGTTGGATTTTTTTCTGAAGATAATATAAGGTTGCATATCGATTCCAATGGGTACTGTTTTTATAAAAATTCAGTAACACTTATGAATGAAGTTTAGGAGTTCATAGATTAACTAAAAGAAGTATAAGATGATTTTTTTTTTAACTGCATTCTCAGAATTCTAGTATCATTCGTTTAAATTAAACAGTAAAACAGCATATCTATAAGATAAAATTTTTACATTAGTTAATTGGAAAACTGATAAATTTATGTTTCCTTCCTATCGTGAAAATTTTAATAAAATAGTAAAATATTTAGAATCAACAATTATATACATGACATTAATCACAAGCTGCGTTTTAAAACTAATGATAATTATCATCTTGTCAGTTTCTAATAATTATAAATATCATATCCCATATTTCCGCATTCATCTCTGAATTTTATGTTGATATATTGCATGTTCAAGGTGAATTAAAACATTGATTTTGGATAATACGGTCTGATAATACCTTAATACCTAATACCTTTTTTATTCTGTGTCACTCATATTTACAGCATATACACCAATAAATTGCAAAATTAACGAAAATTATTCATTTAACATAAGGTCAGAATGGAAAGTAAAAATGTAATTTTCTTCGCATCATTTACTCTTAAAACTGTAATAACAATAAAAGCAACAAATAAATATTGAATTAAAAACAAAGATTTCAATTAATAAGATAACCAAAACTGGGAATGTAGACAGAAAATCAATTATCAAATATTTAGAAATAAGAAACATCTTGTAAAACGTGATTTTTTAAGATAATGAAATGGACAAAAGTTTGAATCATTTAATTGTAAATTTCCGTAACATGCGAATTTCAATAAAAAGAAATTGCTAGTAAGAAAGCATATCACGCGTAAAAATTTTAAATAATTCTAGAATCTATCATTTAATTCATCACCTTTTCTTTATAAAAACTTCTTTTTTTTAATCTCCATACTTGCTTATGTTTTTTTTTTTTCATATCAAAAATTATATTTACACATTAAAAGACAAAATTACAACTCATTATGAATTATAACGGATGATTCCATCCAAGAAATGCCTTTCTTGGCACTGCAAATTTCTTCTTTTGCCCAAAACTGAAAACAAAAAAATAGTAGATCAGTAAAAATTTGTTATTTGGAGTTTATTATTTTAAGAAAACTGCTTTATAAACCAAAGGGTTTCGAGATGATTTGAATTCACTAGTAAAATAAGTTTCGTAAAAAGTTTTCCTTTGACGGCCGAGATTAAATGTATAAACTCGTGGATAAAATAACAACTGTGTGGTATTATGTGAGACAATAAATTGAACCCTCCACAATTGTGAGATTTTTTTTCGTAACTCGAGTAAACTTTTTTTTTTTTTTTTTTTTTTACAACTATAAGAAGAAAAACTATTCAATTTATACAAAACGTTTCCAATATTAAAAAGAGGAATGAAAATATAACACTTAATAGATTTAAATAATAATATTTAAAAAACTTAACATAGAAAGGATTTTATGCGTAGATACTTTTCTCGATAAAAATAGCAATAAAATAATAATAAAATACTTCCTTGGATGTTAAATCCACCAATTTGATTTATCTATCAAGCCTAAGTGTTAACAGGAGTAGGATATTATATGAATATTTTAGTCAAGAAGATAATTTTTCGTCTTTTATAAACATTTCAAAATAGAAAAACTTTAATGTCATCAATAAAGTCAACAACAGTACAAAATGAAAACCTAAAACAATATTTTAGTGAGTATTATACAAGTTATTTCGACGAATTATTCATACAATATGTGTCGTAGAGTAAATTAACATTCCATTTTTATCAAAACTAAATTTAAAAAGAAAAGAACCGAGACACTTCAAAATCGAGATAAGAAACTGAAAGCCTTATATCAAGTGAAGTTTTAACGCACCAATAAATGTTTTATAATTTAAAAACTCTTTCATCATACGTACAAAAATTTTCATTACACGTAAAAAATACTTTACATGATTCAGTCTCGAATTTGTATTATAAAAATTTTTGTATATATTACCATTTCATGGTACATTTGTTTTTTTATAATAATTATTACTTCTTAAAAGAAAACTGTTTAATCAGATCACATTAAAAAACACGTTACTCTGTTAATGATGAAACAAATGCGCTTATAAATTTTCAATATGAAAATCAAGCTGCCGCAAAATTACTATCTAAAAATACTGAAATCTTGACTTTTTATTGTTAGGAATAACAAACTTTCTTAATTAGCCGTCACAAAAAAGCATGTTTCTTTAAAATTTTGGCCACTATAACATCTGCAACGATAACATAACAACCATAGAGATTTACTCATAACAGGTGAAATGTTTCTTTATAATCATCATATATATACATAAGAATTTTAACTATCGCTGACAAGTGAACATGGACGTGAACCGCGCTCCAGATTTGAGTAAGAATAGCAAGAACCAGAGTATTGCGACACAAGCTTACGATTCAATCCTGAAAAAAATGTTACGCCACAATGACTCGTTTTGTCAACTGAAAGCCAAAAAAGTTTATGTAATTACAAATGTAAATTTGAATTAAGCCTATTTTTATTTTGAATGAATTGATAACTCAACGTTTTTTCTTACTAAACTCCATCTTTCTTAATGTGCCAAGTAGTTAAAATTATACATATCAGCAAGTTTTAGATGTATTTAGAAATCTATCTAATTAAAAATATATTGTAAAAATAAATTTAGGACTAAAACCTGTTTCGTAACGTACAAAAAACTTTTTCTAATTTTAATTTTATTAGATTAATACATTAAAACAGGTTTTATGAAGTATTAAAAAATATTAAAAACAAAGACATCGATAAGGATTGACAAAAACATTTCATAGGAAGAATAATGTTCATGTTTAGTACTTACTTAGAGTGAATTCAATTCACGTTTGTGAAGAATTATTATTCGCTATTAGCGAATCAAAAATATTTCCCTTGTGATCGACAAGTTTGAGTGAATCAGCTACAGAAAGACCTTCGTTCCCGTTGTTTACCGCAGGGGCAGGCGATGATGACGAAGGTCCTAAGAAAAGATCATCCTCGAAATCAAGCAAGTCATTCCCTGAATTGTATGACATGAGTTCACGATTATTCTGCAGACCTATTGAATCTACAATAAATGTGTGAAAATTTCATGTATTTTTCTTATATTTGTTAATAGTAAAATTTTATACTAAAATTGCTCAATGACATCGATATATAAATCAGCTATGAAATTTTTTAAATAATAAGTGAAAGAAAAAAAGCTTGAATTTTCACAAAATCGTGAGACTACGGAAAATTCAGAACACGTTAGTCTGCGATTATTTATAGATCAATGCTTTGTCATGCTACACTTGAGTTATAAATATTACGGAAACAAACATTTTATTTTAAAACTTTATATTGAAATTTTATTTTTAGTAGTTAAAATATGTATTTAAAAAAGGTAATACAGTAAAAATTACCGTTTACGTGATGATCGTCGTCAATTTCTCTTTCTTGAGGATCCAATTCAGGATTTAATGGAAAACCATAAGGGTTCATGGCATCTTCGGTTCCAAACAGCTAAGAGTAATAAGTTAAAGATACCAAATGATAATTAAAATTTTTCAACTTTTGATCACAATTTGTTATTAATTTTAATGATCGTTTAAGCAACATTGAAAATAATACGCAAAACTCAAACAATTACCAATTTCCCTTGAACCCATCAATTAAAATATTTATTTGCTTTTGACTAATTTTCAATTTTGCAAAATCAATACTAAAATTTGTAGCAAATTTTAACAAGTGTGAACACTTCTAAAACTTAATAAATGTTTATAAATATTTTGTATTCGAAATTACAAGTATATAATTATTGTATTTTACACTCATGAAGTTTTAAAAACTTTCAACTTTACCAGAAGAAAAATTATTACATCGAAATCATATCTACTCACTCCCAGAAGAGTATTAGCATCGATGCTGACATTCTGGCCACTTAGCATTTCCCTCAAGTTATCTAGATCATTTTGCATATTATCGATGTGGCTGTCACACTCCATTCTAAATAAACATTATTAATCGGTTATTTTAGATGTAGATTTATTCGCTAATGTAAATGTAACCCCAATCGTATAGACGGATCAACGGTAACGTCTAAGAGCATGATTGTGTTTTTTAATAAGTATCCAACTAAAGAATTGTCATATTCAATACATTGTATTGTCATTAAAAAAAATAAATAAATAAGTCAATTTAAAAAAAGAGCGTTCTCTTACTGCAGATGGCCAAAAAATCCTTGAGCAGTTTTTATATTATACCCATGGTCTGTGCTGAACTTACATTGGGTCTAACCTGTAGTTAGTTTCATCTGTGTTGCCCTGATTCATACAACTGAGTGACATACTCTTGTGTTCATTTTTTATCGACTTTTTAGCTGATAAATCTGATGACTTCTGCTCGGTGTTGTTCGTCGTAGAGAAAGTAGCTGGCTCATTACTCGTCGCATTTATGAAATCGAATTTACCAAAGGCTCCATTACTCAAGTCTGCGGTAGCGTCAGGGCTGCGGTCTCCTGTGGTTAGACTACTACCTCCAGGGCTGTTATTACTGGTGCCAACACTATTCAGGCTGCTCACGCTCAACGGCATGGCACCGCTGTTAAAGTCCTCGGTTTCAATGGCGTTTTCCTCGTTCACATCTGGTACGATGAGGATGTTCTCCAGCTTGATGAGAGAGTCATCCTTAGACGACGTGTCTTCGATGTCATCTTGCAGAGACTCCAAATCAAAATCCAGCTCCTGCTCTGCATTTTTCTTCATGTTAGCAACCATGGCTGCAAGTTTGGAACTGCGTACTGTAGAAAATGGCACTGGCTTTGGTTGTACTGCTGTAGGCAACGTTGCTGCATTGCCCGACACTCGACTCGATATTACTCGATTTGGTGATGATCTTGCTCGTTCCGTGGCTCGCGTCGCTTGCATTTTGGTCGTCCTTTTCGCTGGCATTTCTACAACATATACTTCTTCTCTGTAAAAAATAAATTCATACGATGTGATTATATGATTTACTTGCATATAATTGTATTTTTTTTATGAATCTAAACAAAGCAGCACTGTTTAACGATTTAATACATTGATAATCGTAATCAAAAAGTAGTTTTCAATTACTTTAACACATAAAAGCTGGAAAAAGAAGATGAATCAAAGACTGGCACGATTTACATCTAATTATAAAAATTGCAAGTGTGTTAAAAATGTATGCAAGTAATATAGTAAAATATTCTTAAAATTAATTTCTCCTGTGCTGCATTAGTAATAGTATAGAAAAAAAACTCTTGTTCTAATGTATACTCTATTGATGAATGAAAAAATCGATAAATTACTATTCATACTAGGAATTGCAAATTCCAACAAGTAACTAAATTTATTAACAAAACTACGCTTTTGCAATTAAAGTATAACAGACACTAGTGTCATCAGAGCAAAAAGTGTAATTACGATGTACAGAAAAATTTGGATACTATAAAATGAAATTGTAACAATAATTGTTCAATAAAAAAAAAAGTATTTAAAATCAAATTTACTGTTAAATGCTTGGTTAATTAATATTAGCTACTTCCAGCAATAGTCAATAGACTTTTTGCTATTTTCAAACCTTATTTGCATCAACAGTAGACAATTTAAATGTTCTTAAACTTTGTGCTTTGATAAAAATACAAGGTACTCCTGTGGAACAATCATGCCTACAAAAAATAGTTGTTTTATACACAAGGAAAAAAATTCAAAGTGAGAATTACTACTAAAACGAAAAATCTACAGAAACAAACGTATAAACAGAGCTTGTGAAGTATATCACTTATGAAAATGCAGACATACAAAAATCAAAGGTTTTTAAAAAATTCCAACAAACAATTCATTGTAACAAGCCTCAATAAACATAAAAGACAATTACTTAGGTATAAAAATATGTTAAACGAAAAATGAAAGCATTTTAATTGTTATTGAAGCTGGATAGACAATGTGTAACGTAAGTCATGCATACAACATGTTTCTAAAGTTAATATAAAAGTTGTAGCTTTCTGGAATATTCAATAGCATTTTAAATATTCTACGTATTAAAATAGAGAAATCTTCAAAGCACCAACACCAAATAGCTACAACAGAAATTTGTTAACCTTGTTTCTTCTCCGTTTTCTGAAGCTGGTATCAATATTTTGATGGGCATTCTATTTTTCCTCCTGGTAAGGTTTAAAGCTTGTTATAGTGTTATTATTTACGAAGGACTAAAAAATCAGATAAAACATTGATATTCAAGGGGAACTACTAACATCATGAAGATGCTAAACAATTCTTTTTAATTTATGTTACAGTTAGACACTTGTGTTACTCATTATTGACAAAATTTTTTTCCAGTTATTTTTAGTTTTACATAATTTACACTAACAACAAGAGACAATGAACTCATAACTTTAATCAATCATTATCAATATGTAGCGTTAAAATTTTTTGAAATATGTAGGCCTAGTGAGATGATGAAAAGTTTTTGTAAAAATAAATTTTTCAATACTACCATGAAGGGCGCAAAGTATTTGGTACACGATTAATATCAAAGCTGTTGTTAAGTAAAATCAATTAGATTTTTCTGAATACAATAAAAAAAATATCTGGTTCATCGCATCTTGCATTAAAAATAGTGAATGCCACAGAAAGGAGAATGGTTTTGTACTCTCCTAAGCTTAGAAAAAACTATATCCCTATAAATAAAAAAATGATTTCACTGTGCTTACTCTTTCTTATCAATTTTCGTTTTTTTCTTTGATGCGTTAATGTTTGTGGTTTCAAATTCTTGTGGAATTTGTTCCGTATTATCAACATAATATTCTTGCAAGTTCTCTTCAGCTGTGCACCGTTCAGGACTTTCAATGGTAGGTCTCGTGTCATTGTCCAACATTCTGAAAGAAAAATTTATTATTTTGAAAAAAGTTTTGGCCAAGTTTTTATTCCAAACAAGTGAATTTTAATAATCAATATTTGGAAGAAAATTTTATATTCACGTACTCGGCAACAATATACTCAGAGTCTAAATCTGTATCATATGCATCCAATTCATGAATTGCTGGTCTTTTGGGCGAATTATGTACCTTAAAATTAAATGAAATATGTAAAGTAGGTAAAATGTTATAAGGAAAAAATAAAAATTTTTTTTACGTACCTTGGGTACTTTATTTTGCTTTATTTTTTGTCTACGTGCATCATCAATCATGAGAGGATACCTCCTCTTTATTCCCAAACCAGAATTTCTGTTTGAACTCACAAGACTCGCTAGAAATTGAATTAGATTATTGACAACATGTTGTTGTTTCATATGTTTTTGTCTCAATAAGGCAAGCTCCCTCCACAGAGCCTCGTTCTCCCTTTTCATCACACCAAGCCTTGAATCAAAGTTTTCTTGCCTTCCTCTCAAACTTCTTACTTCTGTCAACATTTTATTCATCAATTCTGGTTTAATTGGTTGTTGAGATGGATCTTGCGATTTATTTGATGCAATCTAGAAGAGCATCATGATAATTATAAAATTGTAAATGTAATAAATTATAAAGTATTTAAAATGCTATACCTTTCTTTTTATGTGATCCAAGAGGTATGGATGGTCCTTACAAAAGTATTGATGAGCAAATTCCATCTCATCTTTGTCACATTTTAAGCCGCCCAGTTCTACTGAAACTTTTTTATGAAAACCATCTAGAAAAAAAAAAGATTAACAATTTCAATACATACCATCATTTAAGTTTCACACACAAGACTCTGGCAATAAATATGTATATTAAAAATAGTTACACATATTCAACTGTCGCACAAAACTAGCCATATTGTTGTGCTTGTAGTAATGTGGAAGCAATTCTCGTGCAAATCGTGCTTGATTTTTTATGAAAAAACTCCTTCCATTCTGTAAATCAGAAATACGTTTTCTTTAAAGTCATTAAGATATTTACATTACTTATTTTTGCAACCTTAAGGAATATTTTGCTCTATTTTTATAAAACGCTTTATCTCTTAGAGAAGAGCACACTTGTATAATGTACATTGTGCTTTGTAAATATCTTTAATAGTTTTGACACTTATTAAACACTTGTCTTTATAGTATAGAAAAAACAAAATTGAAAATAAAATTTTTTATTGCTATATTTTATTATTTGATACTATTGTTTGATTCAACTTATGTTAATGATCTGAGATTCAACTTATGCTTAATTAGCACACATATGTTTAGAGAGGTGATTTCAATCTCATTGACCATAGGAAAAAAGCATGATCTGTCCTTTATCTGGTACAGACTACTCACCCTGGCGCATGGACTTGGAGAAAAAATGAAAAAAATTTTCATAGCATGTGTCTTTAAAAGTACACAATATCAGCTATATGAACAGAGAGCGGCGTGTGATGTAATATCCTAACGTACTTATGAAAGAATCTCACGCATGTTGGTGTTAAAACGAGCCTCTGTGCATAAACAGTGACCAAACGTCGCAATACGTTTGCTTCTACGCCGAGCCGCAATAGGTGTGAGGCACTTAGATATTATATGTATGCACCTAAACCGGATCGCGTGTTATGCCGCGTTGATATGCCCGATGAAGAAAACAAAGTTCTCAATCTGCCACTGTTGCTAGTGGCCGGTTCTATGTACGAAGTTGCGATTGTTTTTTTACAAAAATATGTAAGATACCTATCTGGCCGACCTGCAACTATTGTAAACATCGACCCGCCGGCTGTACGAGTAGAAAGTTCGAAAATACTGTTTTATTTTTTATCTCATGGAGACAACAAAACGATTAACATTATTACTCATAAATTATTACCCAGAGATCTTTGCGTCGAAACATTTTTTGACGCAAGCACTAAGATTTGTAATAATGCTTTAACAGATGCATCTTTGTTGTCAAAGAATCAAACAAGAGTAACAACGTTGTGGACCTACACTATTGGCCACTGGATACTTGTATTTATATGAACAAAAATATGAAATTGAATGTAAAAATAGAGAGACTGCAGGCAAAGTGAGGGGTACAAAAAAGGAACAAAGCACCTGTGTGCATACATATACAAGTACACATAGGTGCCATATTACGATTGACGACGTATCTTTAAGGACCAACATCATTATTATGTTTTATTGACCTTTTAGATTAATTCAAAGGTCAATGGAAATCCTAGAAAATAGTTAGATCACATTTTTTTTCCACCCCTTTCGATATAAGGTAAATTAAAGTCCAAAAATAATATGTGACAAAAGTTATCTATATACCATCATGAGCAATATCAAACGCATCAGATTGATAATGTACACACACAAACTCACGCACTCGAGACATAACAAGTCAATGTAGCAGCCACCGCGAACCGCGAGGAAGTCAATATCATTAACATTTATCAATAGGTACAACGAGATGCAAACATTACTCACCGAAGCCCAGCAGATGAGCTCGTCAGTTTCCGGATCCTCAACCAGCCTCCAGAGTTTCCCCAGGAAAGCGGGCACGCTAGTGCCCATCTCGGAGACCGTGTGCATTGTCGTCGGCAGCGTATCACTCAACACACCGAACGTCTTGGCAGCGGATTTCGTCTACTCTCTTCACTTCCCCTATACTTATCTCTTGTGCTTACTTTTATGCCGACCCACTGCTGACGACTGTCCTCTCCTCTCTGCTCCTTCGTTATGTTATGTATAGTAGTACTTATTTGTGCCTTATTATATATAGTCTCTCTCTTGTATCTAGTCTAGCAACCTCAAAAAATGTATTATTCCTCTCTTGACAACGACGACCACTACGACGACCGAGACGACAACGTAATTTTCCTGACCTGCACAACGTTTTGTGAAAACTGCAGTGAGAACTGAGAAGGCCGTGCGCAAGGTGTACTTTTAATACAATGATATATGTCCAAAGAGTAAACTCTTTCTGCGTGTTGATCGACGGCTGTACTGACGATGTGACGATGTTGAAGATGACGATGATAATCGAAAAATTGCGCACTGCGCGACACACGAACGCACTCTTGCGATTACCGTTGCTCTCTACACATGCACTTTCCCTTCGTTTTCTTAAGTAGGTACCTTACATTATAACGTCTACAATACTTTAAATTGTAAATAAACAAGTAGGGAATTGAGGTCAGATAGACACTACGGTCGAGTTGGGGTAAGTATGAACCTTGTCAAATCGACACTTGAAATATCCGTGAATAACACGGTAACACTTTCGGGATTAGTTCGTATAAGTAAGTATAGTCAGACACTGATGTAAATGGCTGAAAACTAAAAGGAGACGATCAATTTTAAGGCTTCATTCACAATGGATAAGTGTACTACTTGTTGACGTTGTGACTTTGATTTGAACTTCAAGGTCCATTTTCATAGGACAGCCCGCTGGAAATGAAACACGAGGAGCCAATGAGAGCGAAGCAAGAGAAGTGCAATAGTTCTCTCATTGCACAAAATACACCAATATACATCTAATTAGTAGAATTTCTGTAATCTCGTACTTATACCGTCTCATTTCGAGTTAATCGAATGGAGACAATATAAAAATCGTGTTTTTATTCGTCCACTTAGTGTTTGTTTTCTTTGTAGTTAGTTACGTGTGTAGATCAACAAAAAAAAATACAGTTAAAATACAGTTTGACGCTGGTCGCTACTTTCTAATGTGCTTCATGAAAAAGCACCTTAATTTATTTTTAATTTTTTTACGAATGTATTCGAGAGAATCGTCATAACCTCGAAACACCGCAAAGTATTTTTAAATGACATACACCAAGAGCATCAATATTAAAACCAGTGTAATTTTGTTGTTAAATAGCAAAGCGGTACGAAAACATAAAAAATGATAGGTCCCTTGAAATTATCGACAAGTATCCTTGTGACAACTTCGACAACACTTTTAAATCAATCGTTTAATGTTCTCAATCAACAAACAAGAGTAAGAATCTTCTTTCAAACTAATGATTAATTGATTGACTTCATTTGCTTGCAACTTTCTCTATCAATGTAACAATTGACATGTGTTTTAGAATGTAGTTCTATTGAGAAGGATGTATCCGATCAGTCTTATAAAAAAGGGAGGCAAGGTTCCCAAGATGAAGCATAGACAGTTTATTTATGAAGTAATAGAAAATACAAACACTAGGCCAAAGAAACCAATAGATATGATATTAACTCAATTTGTAGAGGGTGTCGGAGAAAAAGGTGATAAAATCAGTTTGAAACCTATGAAAGCATACAGAGACTTTTTGCTGCCAGGTTTGGCAGTTTATTCAACACCAGAAAATATAGAAAAATATGCAAGTGTTGTTAAAGAAGAAAAAATATACAGCTCTAAAACAGCTCCATTGACACAAAAATGCTTGACGCCCTTTAATTTAATAGTAACCATGTCTGTCGATCAGCCTTGGACTCTTGAAAAATGGCATATTAGAGCAAATTTCAGAAAAGCAAGGGTTCATGTGACTGACGAGTCAATAACAATGCCAGAGAAAGAAATAAAAGGTCCTAATTTGGATTTAGAAGGTAAAGAGTTTTATGTTACTGTAACCATCAATAATACCGAATCTGTTAAAGTTCGATGTACACTGCACCACGATTCAGCTGACATGTCTAAGAAACTTGATCTTCCACCTGAATTTTGGAAAATTCCTGGCAAAGCTATATTTGAAGAAGATCAAGAAATTTTAGATTCAATGCCGAGAACTGTAGAAGAGGCCCAAAAGATGAGACAGGCAGCTTTATCATGATTTTATTATTTGTTAAATATTTTTTAAAACCAATAAACAATCGCAAAATTCGTATTACCAATTTTGTATTTTTTTTGTGGAATTCCATTAAAACTTTAAAAGCTATAAGCTACCCGATTCGCATGCTATATAGTGATAGTACTTTTGGCAATTAGATTCAAACTAGAACAAACTGCGCCAAATCAATAATTCAATTCAGTTCAAACTTCAGCTTTCAAGCATCAGTACCTGTCAGTCAGTAACGTAGTTTTACTAGCCTGAGATAGATATTTTTGTACCGACGTTATTTCGTCACATTTTTTTTGTTTTTGTTAAAATTTTATAAATGGAAAAAAAGTGTTTTGTATGGGATGATACTATCGAGGGGCTAGCTTTGGCGAGGTACGTTAACATATAAAATGTAAAACAAAAAAAAGTGTTTAAATTGTATTTTTCAAATTAAACTTATTTAACAGAACAACGAAAGACGATGACAAGAAAAAAGTTTCGAGGAGAAAATCAAAAGCCGCGAAGAGCAAAATATATTTTCCTCACAAGCATTTGCTATACAATTTCAAGGAAACCCTCAGTTTTACCGAACAGGTTGGTTATAGCTCTATTGAATAGCGATTAACATTATGTAACGTAATTGATTTATTTTTATTTATAACGAAATTTAATTACCAGCATCGAAGAAGAAACTTTTAATTACTCGCTAATCTGTGGAAAAAAAGAAATTGTTTAATCTCTTAAACGATTTATTAATTTTTTTATCAGTAAAAAAACTAAAGACTATATGTATATAATGCGCAACTGCCGCAATAATGTGGAACAAAAGTGCATTAGATAGTTTATCTTGAATATACATTACATTATTCACGATATGAAAACACAAACATTTTTACATCCTTCAGTAAAAATCATGAGAATGAATATAAGCTTAACTCACAATAAGTGATAATAACCAATAGCAAAAAATTAATGAAGCCCCCATGTTTGAGACTGAGAATATCATTTAATAACTGATACTATGAGATAGTATCTGCTGCTTTTTTTTTTTTATTTTCATCCTGATCGACATGTCGGAAAGTAATTTAAAAAAAACTGAAAATAGTTATTATGAGTTTCGATGAAAAATAATTATTTGTTACTATTTAATATAAAATTTATGGGTAATTGATAATAATTTTTATAAATTGTAACTGATTATTAATAAATTTAATGACGGAATTGATTTTTGTCAATTCAGATTTCATACAGAAAAAAAAATAGTAATAACAATAACTGATAATTCTACATCATCTTGAGATAGATCAATCGTAAATTTTATCGTAATTTAAAACCTTGACCTGATCGACTGTTACTATTAGATTTTATGACGCTTATTTTTTCATCATAAGTAAACGAACAAATAAAATGTTGCTTGAGGCCAAAAAAAGAAATAAATTAACAGCAATGGGGAAAACGCCATCACGTGTCGCTCTATGTACTTATTCGCAAAATTCACAGACGAAATTCCAAAAGTACTACGAGCGCAAAAAACCATCGGTCCAAGCAACCAGCGACGAAACCAACGACTGGGAGGAGGACGTGGTCCTGCTGCAAGACGTAAAAAACCTGACGCTGTACTTGATCGGCTCGCCCGTGAGCCCGGAGCTCACCAAGTACCTGCAAGTCTGCTGCGAGCGCTTCCTGCGGGCTCTCGTCCTCTACTTCCAGCACTACCTGACGACCTGGACGGGGCTGTCGGAGAAGCGCGCGGCAGCGGCGCGCCGCATACCGAACCCCCTGGCCGGTGGCGCTCGACAACGCCGAGCCGAGGAGATGAAGGTCCTTCGGTGCGTGCTGGCCTGCGAGTACGCCGAGCTGCTGATGGGCCGTCAGGAGGAGGCCAAGCCGTACCACCACCTTCGGGCCGGCGAGACGGCGTTCGCTCAGTCGTGCGGCGAGAAGGACCTCAGGGTCTACGAGACGCTGCTCCAGTTCGGCCACAGGCTCGTTTGGATCGCCCTCGGGCGCAAACAGAAGGAGCTCATTGGTAAACAAAAAAAAAAAAAAAAAAAAAGAATCAATTTTTCGCTCGCAAAAGGGATATCTGCAAGCTTGGGTCGACGCGGGTCAATTTGAATATTATGAAATTGCCGCTTAAGTTGCGTTTCTATTGATTGTTTGTCTACACATCGAGTATACTTGATTGATTGATGCAGAGGTGGAGATGCACCGTTTGTTCAGGAGCGACGCATTCAACTCGGCCAAGAGAAGGTGCACCGAGTGCCAAGTGCCGGAGGACGAGCGCTGGATACTGTACGGTCCGAGACTGCCGGCTCGGCGGAAAATACTGTCCAATTCGCCGCTCCCCTATGAGATTCTCAACCCAAACTGCGACCATCGGCTGTTATCGATTGGTAATGGACGGGTTCTATAACATTGCGTGTATATAAAACGTCGCAGTTGCGGGAAGACTCTTCCGAGATATTTTTGGCCAAAGGAATGGTCGATTCTGAAATTGTTTTTCATGCGACAGGACGATCAAACGTCAAGTCCAAGGATCCTCGCGTGGTTTATCTTGAAAACGCTCTTCTCGCCAGGGAGCAAGATTTACCTCGATTGGGCATAAAATTGGGAATTTTGGGCATGCCGCGTTCCGACTTTGATGTCATGCTGATACCCCAGGCTAGCGAAGAGGACCACGTGGTCGTCGATGAAGCTGCTGGTGCTGATAAAAAGGTGTTTTTCTAACATTACATCGTACCTACAATCAAGCGAATGCTTGTAAATGATTAATCGACTTGAGCATTTTTTGTTACAAAAACCAAGGATGTTTAATGGGTGCTTTTTGGCGGCAGTCTGTTGTTAATTGAACGTAATACGTGATTGGTTTACTATACATCTATAAGTACGTGTGAAAGCAAGATAATAATACGTGCATCTCGAATGACTTCCAATTCGTGAACTATATTTTTACAATTACAAAATACTTTTTCTGCTTATTGTTTGTCTCTCTTGTTCATCAAACATTCAGATTTCACAGGAAACAAAATTTTGAAAACCGACGTTGAATTACATTTGTAAATATTTCGTCAAAAATAAATACATTTGTATCTCGTTTACAGGAAGCCGACGATTACGAAAGCTTGATACCTGCCAGTGGTTTGGATCAATAACCTTTACTCTGGTGACGATGGAGCTCGCGAAAATAGCATGAAATTAATCTATTATTTACTTATTCATTTATTGCTCGTGAGTTGAGGGGTATTGGGGTATGGTTGTAGGTGTGAGGTGGAGAAAAAGCACTAAAGCAAAACTAAGTCGTCTGTGTAATTTTTTTTATCTCATAAACTGTAAAAAATTTATTTGTATGGCCAGTCGGCTTTGTTGCATGCATGCACAGTTTTTTTTTAATTCCATTTTCATAAAGTCGATTCGGTCCAAGTATAATTATTTTTTGTAGCATTCTTTTTCAAGCGATGAGAATAATGGAGAAAACAAAAAAGAAAAAAAAATAGAAAAGAAGAAATTAAAGTGATAAAAAAATACAATGTACAATTTCGGTGTTATTTACCACTCGACTGTGCACTACTATCTTAAAAAATTATAATTTAAATAAATAAGAAAAAAGAAAAATACTGACGTAACAAATGGAACTAATGTAGCAAGTTACTTGTTTATACATGTCGTTCATTGCAATAGAAAAATATTAACACATATATTAATCATGTACATGGGTTCTACAAAAAAGTAAGCACTAAAAAGCATATAGCCTAGTGAGAAGAGTTTTGATGATAAATATGTTACAAGGGCAATACAATATTCTATAAGGTATACGTTGTTTTTGGATCAATCGGTGGAAAAATAAAATTCGTTGTTCTTCCACCGAATTATACTTCGCTTCATTTTTTATCTTTGTGAATTCACAACGGTAATCTAACGATATACAAGACCAGTGGTTTGTTTACAACACATTTAAATACACCCCCAATGTGGGGAGCTTTTTTTTTTGTTGTTACTTTTTTTTTATCGACGAGGATTTTTTTTTTCACAACATACAGCTAATTTTACTTTTCGTTACTTATTAAAATTTTCGGAAATTTCATTACTAGTACTATGAATTTTCTTCAAGGATTCATCAATCGAAAGTTTTTTTTTCAGTCAGTCTCAGAGTTTTATTTTTGCACAGACCTTGTTATTATTAAAAGCCAGATCGCATTTGTTTCAAGATTTTCTTAAGAATTGTCAGAATTTATGTCACAGACTGAAACACAAGTAGTAACATGACAAAACATAAATGTTATATGAATTATTAAGTTATTGAAAACTTACATGAAGTGCCGTAATATTACAACAGGATTGTTGTAATTGTTGTTAAAATTAGAATATCAACTTAACATACACATACATAAATATGTATATACATATACTTTCGGTATGTAATAAAAATACTCAAGCAATAGTCCTGTTATTCAATTTTCATCGATTGATTACCAAATTTAGAAAAAAGGTATACTAATGAGATCAAAAATTAATTGGTTTTTTTTTTTTAATTGAAATTATTTATTACAACAAATAATCAATTGTTTCGTGATGTGTCTGTTTGTTAACAGATTTCTTAGTTCGAAAATTTACTGGACAAAGTGCGATCTAGTAGATCTACCACTGTACACATTTATACAAGTGCCTGTGTGATTGCAAATTATAAACGAAAGAATCAACGTATCATGTAATCGTTTCATTATGCCTATATATTACACGCGATTATACACACGATGTTACACAAGTTTGACAAATACCTCCCTAACACTTTTTTCCGAGCAAAAATAGTATGAACAAATTAGTTTCGATTTGAACGAGCAAGAATGTACAAGTAAAAACTATATATTTCATTTCGAGCGTAAACGTGCTCAATTGTTTTGCTTTATCTGATATTTTATTTCTTAAATCTAATTTCATTAACTAGGTATACCAATATACATTTTTTCCTTACTTAAAAATGTGTTACGCGCTTTTCTTATGTATTTTCAGTTTATCCTTTTTTTAAAATTTTTTCTTATTTTGTTATTTTATGTTTGTTTAATACCTTGTTCAGAATAAACCTATACAACTGCTTCATTATGCTCAGACAAGGATCTGTATATTTTCTTGGCAATAACTATTGACGTGATCTGCGCGTGTATCTAAACTCTATTGGTTAGCTCGTCTCGTAACACCTAAACTTTCAAAAAAATTCATTTATACATCATTGTTTTCAACATACAAAAAAGTACTTTTGTATGTATTACAGAGTTATTCTTTACATGTAACATTTGGACAAAAAAATAATGATTGAACAAACAACAGCTTCATTTTTCTTCTAGGTAATATTTAACAAGATTTTAAGATAACTACTGTCGTTTGATCTACAGGAAATTTGTGGGACAAAAATGCTTAACCGTTTTGACACCTAAGAACTACGTAATCTACATTATTTTGCTGTTGCATTTCCCCGCAACGTGTTTACTTATTTTTAAATTTTTTTGTCGTGTAAACGAGTCAGTTTACCGTGCTTAATATTTTTTATACTTTTTACAAATTAAACATGACTCTAAAATAGTTTTTCATTCGTTCACCACATGTACAATGTATGTAAATCATAAAAAAAAAAAAAAAAAAAAAAAAAAAAAAAAAAAAAAAAAAAAAAATAATAATAATAAAAAACCACTTTAGCTATGCAACGTCGAACAACATAGTGTTGGTTCGCTCATACAAGAATGTCGAAAAGCTAGTGCTGAAATCTAAAGAAAAAATAAAATAAAATAAAAAATGGTGAATTTACACAGCACCAGCATCGACAAGCATTTGTCATTTTGAATATACACTTTAACAAAAGAGAAAAGGAACGTGTGCACAGTTAATGCTTAGCAAGGCGACGTGGACTACGAAGCTATATCCGACATGAGTTGGACAAGAAGACTTGGCTCTAAAAGCCCGTGTGTACCACCCATACGCTCAATATTCCTAACATCCTTGTCAAATGCTTCGACGGCACGTTCCAGTTCCTCCTCTTCCTCGCGAGACGGCTCATATTCGCCATTTCTTCCTTCTATAATGCAAAATAATATAATACTCTCTAGTTCTGAGTTTCGGGAGAAATGATTGCTGTTTTGAGACTTTTTTTTTTTTTTTTTTAATTTAGATCACGCGATTGATAATTGTGATACAGTACCAAGACTGAACTTAAAAAAAAAAAAGACTACAATTAATGTTTTATTTTTTATAAAAACATCTAGAATTATTATCAGTCTCAAAACAACATACTGAACAAAAAGTGCACAATTACCTGTGAATAAGTCATTGAAAGCATCTGCTGGCAAACTGTTAAGAACATTCTCAAAGTCATGTTCAGTTGCATGATCCAGCGAGGCAAACACCTCATGATCATCCAATTCCACCTTTAATCCAGCCCCAAGTCCCAAAGATCCAACATCCAAGCCTAAATTATTCAAATTATTCAGATTATTCATGCTACTGAGGTTGTTCAGATTATTCAAGTTACTCAAGCTATTCAAATTATTCATATTATTCAAATTATTCAGAGCCCCCATCTGATTGGGCAATTCTTGAGCGAGAGTGTTCAGATTGTTCAAAGTCTTGGAGGTCAATTCGTTGTTGGAAATCATGTGATTCGTAAAGTGATTCTCGTCAGGTAGCAGGTGATGGTGGTTCGTTGGAACGACTGAGGGCATGACTGGGGGCACAATTTGTTCAGCGATTGGCTGGTGAGGGATCGTTTTGACTTCCAATTTGCCGGTCGACGGCGGCCTTTTCCTTTTCTTGGGTCTAGATCTGGATTTGCTGGGTTTTGCTGGGTTCACCGCACCGGCGGACACAGCTCCAGCCGAAGCCACAACGGTACCCACACCAGGTGTGACTGTCGTGCTCGTCGTGCTCGTCGCGATTGTGGGCGCTGAGGAGACGATGTTGGGAGAGCTCGGCTTTTTGCTGCGTGCCTTCTTTGGTTTGGACTCCTGGGACTTGCGATGGTAGTTGTCGCGCTTCCTCGCATGCTCTGGGCAGAGAGGCAACTCGTGTGCCACGTCGAAAACCGGCACGGAGCACTGCGTGTTGTCGCTGAACTTGGCCGTGCAGTGCTCAAAGAGCAGCTGGTCACTGTTAAGCATGATGTGACGGGAGCAGTGTCGAGTGCAGGGAAGCGAAGTTTGCTGGCAGCCCTCGGCTCCGCAGGGACTTCCCACTATCAAAGGCCCGTCTATGACCGTCGACTTGGAGCCGCTCAGTATCCTCGCGGTAGCTGTTGGGTCGCGCAAGGCAGCCTGCAGCAGGTAACGAGTTTTCTTCTTTAAAGCTTGCTGTTGCTCCTCGTCCTTGAATTGAAGCTGGTACAATTGGCGCTGAAGTTGTACCCTCACATTAGCCAGTCGGCTCGATCTGGTCGACGAAAAGTCCGTCGTGCCAGAGTACCAATGGTGCTGATAAGTCAGAAGCTCATCGCTACTGGACTCGCTATCGGATAACTCCTCACCAGCCCTTGGGTAGTACTGGAGAGTGTGGTCCCTATCTATACGCTTTTCTTTGTACTTTTGCAGCAACTTGATGTACTTTTCTTTCTTTTGAAGGATCAACTGGGTCGGTGCATAATGGCTTTTAGTCATATTACAACTACTATCTGATCTTGGTTCTGTTTTGATCTCAGTCAACAGATTGGACTCTGTCTTGATTTTTGTTTTTAAAACCTTTCCCCTGGATTTGTTTCTGTTGGTGCTTGGTGTTTTTGAATTCTTTGGAGCAATTAGTTTGATGTTTTTGCCGCCTGTCGACACAACAAGCGGCTGCTCCGTGTCATTGAATACATATGGATCAACACCTTTTTGCAGGTCTGAATTTACAAAGACCTTGAAGCGGTCTGAGAATTTTAATTTATTGTCCATGGTTGGATGCTTTGAATTTAGGATCTTCATTGAGAAATGTTTTTATTGTACCTTTCACAAGCTGCATAATAACTAAGATGTATATGAATTTATTACTTCTGTTTTTTTACCGCTCAGACTTTGTTAAAGGCAGTTGTAGATACTTGAAAAAACTCCATTGCACAAAAATTTTGACCTTCAAATCAACAACGTGTACAAAAAAATTTAATGCTTACTGTTATGAACCAGAAATTGTTACATGTTACATCTCTATAATACAACATGTAAATATAGTAAGCTTTTTAAACAAATTTGTGCACACAGAGCTTGATCAAGAATTTATGTGCTGTCTGGAACATTTACCTATCAAACTACAAGTACTTACACTGGAATTAGCACTTTGTGAAAAGATATTCATTGTTGTGTAAACAAAGAAGTTCAAATGCTCCTCCGATTCTTATGATTCCGAGATGCAGCACAACTTATGACAGTAACAACTAGAGTAATTTATTGACTTACTACAGCATCATCAGACAGTTAAGATACTCGCAGTTACAGTAAAGTACCAATTAGAAACAAGTCTAGTTGTAATAATAGTACACAATTGAATGTCATCGGTTAACCAGGTAGGCTGAACACTGCCAAGAAAAACCAGCACGCGCGAAAACCCTGTATACGTTTACTGTAAACTTGTCACTTTGCACAACAATGAATAACAAGTGAAAATTGGAAACCACAACAAACAAACTCGCAACACGGATCGTTCCTCCGCGCTAAGATTGAGACACCTAACATCACGATTGAGGTTATGTTGTCCTTGTATTCCTGACAACTGCGTTGCACGCGCTGACAGCTAAGATCCTCGAGCTTACAGCTAGCACGACTTCATAACCAGGTAACAATTGATCCTTGGGAAGCTTGAAAAATCAGCACATTATCGAGTCGAGGGTTAGGAAAAATATCGGCTGGCGCAATTTTAATAACTACACACACAAACACGTTCACACATTCCTAATATACCCACAGTACGACTATATAGGAGGGCTTAACTTTTACTGTATATTATTATGACTATATAGTCTGTGTCGTTTCCGAGAGAGAGAGAGAGAGAGAGAGAGAGAGAGAGAGAGAGATATTTAATATATACACAATCACTTTTTTTGTGTCCGTGACTTCCCGTACAGTCGTAGTCGTAGTATTGGTATAGTATTGTGTACTACTGTATTGGAATATTGTATAGTAACCATATAAGCAGTAACGCCGGCAGCGCCGCTCACTTTCACTAAAGAATCATGAAATCAACAAAGAAGTCGAAAGGCATTGTGGGACAAATTATTTACTTTCGTAATAATCCTCATAGTTTGGCTACTGGAATACCGACAGAAAAAAGCTACAATACTTATTGAATACGTAGAAATTTTTTCTCATCGTAGGTAGCTTCAAATAGTTAAAATGAAGTTAAATAAAATAATCGCTTATTAATTTCGTTGTAGTGACCACGAGAGGCGCTGTTTACGACAAAGCATATGGCTATGACAAGATATATATATTTATCACTGATGTTTAAGTGCTTATATACTTATCCAAGTGAGTCTGTTTGCAAAAGCTTTATTATTTAATGCCCTGACCATTTGTAACAACGCATTTAATTGCCTAACGTCGGAATCACTTGTCAAAATTCTACATTTATTATTCAAAACACGTTTTCACGTGAAACCGAAAAATTCTTTAGAGTTGAATGAAACAAAGGGGAGCTAAATGAAATATAATTTAATCAACTTGACTGTTTTGAAACTTTAATTTTTAAGGATGCCCGAAGGGAGTCCATTATTATTATTTATAATTTTACCCCCGAGTACCCAAAATTCGTTGAAATTGTTGTTACAAAATAAGATGTGAGAAAATGAATGTTTCTAAATAATTGTACACGCGTCACTAAATTATGATACTTTCAAATTGTTGCACTCGGCAAATGTTTTTATTTAAAGGTAAAGTGATCAACTTACAGACGTTCGCGTGGGATTTTCGTCTACTATAGTTGCAAAAACCTAATTTTCTTAGCTAAGGGTAATTTTTTCATAATCTCTGCTTCCACCTATAGTTTTAGTTTTCCGTGCTATACCTAATTTATTTTTCGTTTGCTAAAATATGTAAAAAACTATATACCTACAACGAAAAATTCGAAAAAAATGCTTTCCACTAATCTTGACTTGTTTTCATTGCCCGATGTCTCGAAAACCGTTGTACTAAAACCAAAACAGAGCTCCTAACGTTGAAAATCGAATAACGATCATAGTGTACATAATTTTTATCTATGCATTCAAAGGGATCTTATACGCGCTGTTATCGGTTACCGATAAGCCGATAACCTATAGCTTCGCAGTCCATTCAAATTTTTTTTTTTTTTCCATAAACGTACGTGAGGATGGGAAGAAGGGAAATAATTTATATCGTGAGATAAAATGCGTGTACGTTTGATTTTTCGTTCAATGTATATGTAAATAAAGAATTACACGTACATATGTATACAAAAGATACAATATATTATATGCAATTGACACATTATTCAAAGTTTCTCGTGCACATGGTTCAAGTTTTGTATGGGTATAAACGTAACATTATCAATTTTTTTTTTTTCTTTTTTTTTTCATTTCAAGAAAAGTTGGTCAGACCCACGTATATATACAAATAAATGTATTTTATATATATATATATAATCTAGGGTCATATTATGTCTACATGTTATTTACTCATATCGTACATCAACACGCGGTGATATATCATGTTTCTTGTAGACATAAAAGTAATATCGAGCTGATAAATATATACTTATTTCACATATGCGCGTACGATTGTTGCTATTTATCATCCATGACCATCATCAGCGAAGCTCGCGATAATCATGCACCATGTGAGTGCGTGATCTTACTCTAATCATTTTCTTTTAATTTGACACTATCGTATTATCTTTCAGTTTATTTTAACAATAAACTGTTGTCAGTTATAGATAGTTCATCAATTATCGATGATATATATATATCACTGTCCTTACTTCAGTGACTGTAAAATAGAATAAATTTTTAATCGCGACTGGTTCTTTTCAGCAATACATTACTTTTTACAATATTTGAAAGATGTGTGTACACCGCGTGTAAGCGCTTTAGGATTGAAAGTGGGTCATTAGTTTTATCGTTATATTACGCTTCAACGTTTGAAATAAACTGATCGCAACGTTTTTTTAACGTAACTGCTGCAACGTAAGAAATTAACGCTTATCGATGTATTCCTATTAATATACACTCCATTTGTAATATTGAGATTGTTAATAGTAAAAAAAGTATAATTTTATAAAATCGTTTGCGATTGATGGTAAGTGTTTTCTATCCGTGTTATTACTAGTTGACGGTCAGTGCGTTTGAATTCAAGTTCATGTGTGTATAACTTTGGATTGCGTCCACGAGATGGCTTGCGCACGACAATAAAAATTTGTTGCGTCAAATCTTTGAATATAATATATTATCAATGTATTACCTAAATATATAAATAATCCGTATGTAAATTGGGTAACTTGTACGAAAAGAACCTTATTACACGTCAATTTTTAACAGCTCTCCGGTTTAATACCTGATGAACACAAAACTAGTTGAATTTTTATTTTAATTGTAGTTTTCATAAAAAAAAGAGAAGGAAACTTTTGGAGTGACAAGCAAAGTGCAATAGTATTAACCATTAATTTTCGGGTTGTAATGTATTTTTGCTTTATTTGAGTTGATCCATTTGTTGACATTGTATTTTTATTCGAATGGACAATATTGAATTACAAGAAAAAGTTATACTTTTGATGTACGAACAGTTTCAAAAAAGTTGATGACGCATTTCATAATCTGGAATTTACTTTTCACAGTAAAAAGTTTTTGAGATTTTTTTTCTTTTTTTTTTTTTTTTTTTTTTT